AAATTGATGAATTTTAAAAATGTTTCAATCATTTTTTTTTACAGCATTTCCAAGCACTGGCACAAGAGAATAAAATGGATAATAGTTTAAAGAAAAAATCTTCAGAACTAATTTTACCTGAGGACAATGGCCCACTTGTGTGAAGCAAACATGGTTGCAAAATAAAATAAAAAAATGTAGGGTTCTGTATTGATATCAGCCATTGTTAAATACATGAATTTCAATTTGTTGAAGCAATTTTTAATGGTGGGTTGGTCAAATTTTCATTCAAACTAAAATTTAGATGAAACTTTCTTTTGTAAATTTGTTAAAAATCTTTGTTCTCTGCTGCACATATCAGGGCCAATGTATGAGATGGTCAGTCATCTGCTGATAACAGCACTATGTTAAATATTTAATCACTGAAAAATGTTTTCAATTATACTTCAGATATTATCCTTTCATTTTCATATTTCTATTTGATGATTTAGTTAGTTTAGCAATTAATATTTCTCAATTTGCTAAATTCCTAGATAAAAGTTTAACACAAGAAATCTGTTAATTTTTTCTTATTGCCAAATTGTTATGTTGAACTACTTGAGTATTAATAAATGTTATTCGGCCTTTTGTGTGGTACAAGTTAATTTCCTGGCAATCATTTATACTTTAAGTATGTGTTTAATACTGACATAGTCACAATATTCTGGTTATCAATAACTGACTTTCAAATCTCCTTACTATCTTGTAAGACATGTTATTTTAGCTTTTAAAAATGACATGTAATAGTAAAGATGAGAAGACAATGTTGCCAGCACCTGCAGGGGAATAAACTCTCTATCCACCAAAGTTTTATGAAAGACAAAAATAATCTTGTTCTTGTTTTTAGATTGTAAAGCTTTATTTCATTTGGTTTTGTGCAACCTGGCAAAGGAACATTTTTTTTTTTTTTTAACCCAAAGTGCACACCAAATCCTAAATTAATAACTGGTTATCTTTCATAGACCAAAAAAATAACGAACAGGTGGACCCGGAATGTCTTCCTCTCGTCCAGTATCAAGAGATACAACCAAGTCCACATATAATTGATTTTCCCTTGGCTTGAGCAGTTTGATCATGCTGCAAAAAATAAAGGATGTGACATTGTAGATATTTTCTACAAAATGCTCAATACAAATTTCATTTGTTTTTTTTTTTATTTAGAAAAATAGTATCATTTAAATGTTCTTTTTAATAAGATATATCACTTATATTGTGTATATTGCAAAGATGAATGCAAATCTAAATGTTCCTAGAATTAAAATATAGCTGTGGTTACATTCAAAAATATAATTTGATGTCCTCTTTAAAAGATAAACTATTAAATATTGGTCAATGATAAAGAAAGATTAAATAGATGAATGGAAAGGACTAGTGAAGTTTAAATTGCATATCATTTTTAAATGTCCATGCATAGACTAGAAATAAGCAAAATATTTTTATAAAGAAAAAGATAACTGATAAAAGAATTGTTATTTGGAGAATTGAGATCAGTAGGATTTATGTAATACTTTTTGATTTTCTTTTTTTAACTTACCTTTGTGGAAGACGTTTGCTATGTCCTGGCAGTATAGGAACATATATCATCTTCACACCATGGACAACCATTGAAGCACTATATCCAATCTTCTCCTACAAATGAAAACATATTAGCAATATTTTTTCATTAATTTTAAGTTTTATGATGTTTTTAATAATTCAGCTCAAAATTTTCAGCTGTAGAAGAAAAAAATTAATAGGTATTTTTTTATGAAAATAGGTTTCCAAGGATTTTTAACTTTTAATGGGTTTTAAATCTAAATATTAGATCTTAAAATATTATTATTTTAGATTTATTTAGAAGTCTGAAACAAAGAGATGAAAACTATTGCTAAAAAAATGCAAATATTAATTGACATGTCAAAATCTGGTCAGATCCCTTCAAGCAAACTTTCTCTTAGCATAGAAGTAATATATATTTAAAAACTGAAATTGTGTACATTCTTATAGAAATAACAAAGTGAAGTTAATTTTGTTAATATTTCAGTGGTGATTGATATCATCCATATAGGGAAGATGTTGAATAAACACTTAATAAAACTTTTAAAAAAAGTAAAATTTAACTTAAAATTTTTCAAATTAACCACAGCATTTTTAAGTAGTAAGGTAGTAACTTTTAAAATTTTTTTTTCAGTTGTTTTGATAATGCTCATGTGAGAGGTGTGAAACATCAAAAATTAGATAAAAAATTTCATTTATTTCATATAAACACAATAATATTAATATAATTAACTGCATTTTCCTTTGTTAATCAAAAATGATTATCAACAAGTAATTTTTTTCTTTCATTTTAAAATTATCTGAGAGTGGAAAATAATTTGGATATTTTTAAAAAATTAAGATTTGAAAATGACAGACCTTGAAGTGTTGTAGGAATTGCTGAAGTGTAAAACTTTTCTCTCCATGAATTTCCCATCGGTCCCATACGGTGAATGATAATTCATCACTACAAAAGGTAATAAAATGAACAATTCAATAAGTTCCTGTTTTCATTTTAATCACTTAGAGAAAATATACATAAAATATTCACCTACATAATACATTTATGTAGATCTTAAATGTTTCTTCCACTGAATCAGAGAATGTAACTTTTCAGTATTACCAATCGACAATACCATCCACCAGTCAGAAAGACTGATGGCTGCTGACATTGTTGTATGTGGCAGTAAAATCTCAGTGATATCATCTTAAAAAAGCGCTGTCTCAGAAGAAGAGAAATTCTACACAGAATTAAGTAAACTTTGTATATTAGAAAAATGTTTTTTTAATGCTACCCCAAGTACTGTTGAAAGCTACTGGTCCTTTGATGGTAAGAAGATATCACCCTTTGAAACAGAAGCCTCAAATAACAATGGAGAACTCTTGTTAAACTTCTGTTACTCAAAATGATTGACTTCAGCATCTCAAACTCTTAGATCAGGTAGTTTGTGACAGATAGTAGAGTATACAACTCCTACTTTGAATGTGATCACAGACAAACTTGTATCTAAATTGACAATGCCTGCCAACAAAATAGCTTGCTCTCACCCACATAAACCTAGGTATAACATCCAATCCCTTAAAAATGAAAGGGTAAATTAAGAATTCAGTAAGAAACTAGAGTCTAAATTGATGCCAATAAATCTTGATCAAATACTGTTATCATAGTTTCATTAGCTGAAGCACGTGAAGTCATTCCAAGAATACCTAGAAGGAAAAAAGGTACACCCATAGGATGACAATCTGGAGTTGAAAAAAAAACAAGAAGCAAACAGAAGAGGAAAAAACAGAAGGAAAAATACAAAACAATTAATAAAGAAAAAAAAAAAATCTAGTCAATTCTTTGAGAAACCAATATCCCTGGAAAATCAGAAATAAAATTAATGAAGCCAAGCAGCATAGACAATGTGCTAACAATGTAGAGAAAAGCAACAAAATCACAATAATATCATACAATCGAAACCAACACAGGAAAAATGTTCTGGTCTCAAAAGATACATTGAATCACATTTCAACTTTGACTCGGCTGGCCCACTGAAATAGAACATATACCAATACACATCGCATCATGACAAAGTTTGTCTCCAAACATAAACAATAATGGTCCTACTGATGAGAAAATTAAGAAAGCTATTAAAAAATCTAAAGAATAATTAAGCTTTCATTCTAATAAGGAATGCAATGATGGCATAAATGTCATCAAACAGCTCCAAGAAATAGCTTACCTCTCTAATAAGAAATGATATAGCTGCTTTGTCAACCTCACAACAGCATATGACCACTCAATTGAGACTTCCTCTTGTCATCCATTAAAAATCACCTTCCAAGCACTGAATCCATTGGATGCGTTGATCTAATAAGGGAACTTTATCAATCTATAGAATCTTACATGTCTGGCTAGGACCACAATACGGAAACATTTCAAGCTATGTCAGGAGTACAAGAAGGAGGAAATGACAGCCCCAGTCTATTTAATCTTTTCCTAGACTATGCCCTGCACATTTACAAACATGGATAGGATGAGCACTGAACATTTAAGCATTCCATATCGCATTCAAAATGAATCTACCAATAAAAGACAACGATACTGCTTTCCCTCCTAAAGCCAATATACTGTTGGAATAAGAATGATCTAGGATAGAAAATCAACATCCTCTACCAAGTGTTCCAAGAAATAGGACTTAAGCATTTCCAAAACAGAAACTATGACCTGGAATTGGAATGAAAACAGTGATGGCATTTGACACTGAACCCAATGGTAAAATTCAGGAAGTGGAAATAGTAAATACTAAACACTTCAGATATCTCAGTGTATGGATCAGTTATAACAAATTAAGGATAAGAGAAAAGGAAATTGAAAATAAAATAGGCTGTACCAGAGGTAGTTACGCCTAACACTGCAAAATGCTATGAAACTAAAATATCAACTCAAACTGGAATCATGTTCTTAAATAGTCCTGTCAGATTGGGACTTTCATATGGAAGCTATTCAATCATGTTCAGAAATATCTAAACTGTCAGCTGTACACAACTGCTTTCTAAGATCAATGGTAAAAAAATATGTAGTGAATTCTGAAAAAAATAAAATATATGAACCAAAAATAAAAAGAATTCAATTAAAATAAGGCATTTGCACCTTCCTTTAAAAACCTTATCTGTTTCTTTCTCTAAACTTCTCTTTCCATACTTCTTTCAACCTATGAGAAGGCAACCCTGAAATAAAAAGGAAGAAGAAAAAAAAGACTGAACTTGGACAAAAATACCGTAAGCTTGCAGGATCAGAGCCTATTTATTTGTGACTGAAAAATGCCCAAAATTAGGAAGGCTTCATGCATAATTTCAGTTATGAAAAAGAAAGGAATGCTGGAAAATAAAATAATTTGACCAATCAAAAAATTGACACAAAATGACTTTGATAACTAACCAAAACCAAAGTTGTCACCATAAACTCAGAACCTATTCAAAAGGGTAAAAACTTGATACCCACTGTGCTACCAGCAGATAGGACTTGAATGTGGAGAAGAGAGCAGAATTGACCTTAGGAGAGGATGGAACAAAAGAACACAGCCATTGGTGACATGTGAAGAAGCAATCAAGAGGTCATCTGCTACTGACATTTCTGCACTGATAAGAGCCCAGAGAAACATTTGACCTAATTTCTCACATTACTACTACCCCCCCGTACTGTGGTCTGGCTTCCAACTATTGAAACAGACATTTCTTTAGCCTGCTATTTTTTTGCCACTACCAAATACCAAAGGACTCACTCATTACTCTAAATAAAATAAATAAATATATTATTTATTTTAACTCTATTTTATTCCCAAAGTCTCTGATAAAAATAATTATTCTACAACCTATCCAAACAATGTTCTGAAGTGGACACATATACCATAAAGCTTTTGAGCGAGTGAAGCCTGAGGATCTTGGCAAAGATCATCCTTCTTTGAACATTGTGGATTGGCAATACATAGTCACAAAGAAAGAACTGTGACAAATAAGAGAAACTGCATCACTTGAGGACTATCAACAGCAGCAACAACTAAAATGGATAGCACATATTACTCAAAAAGGAAATAATATAATCAAGATGTTAACCTTCCACACGACATAAATAAAAAGTTAGGAAGAAAATCCCCCATCAAAACTGGAAATAGCGATAACAGCAACTGGAGTTTGCTGACTCACTGAAGCTCCTCTGAAGATTGGATGCATTACAGAACAGGCAAAGGTGCACCAAAAAAGAGTAAGGTGCAGCTTGGCTCAATACTGTTACTGGTTTTAACCATTGATGCTAGTGATCTAACTTCTGAAGGCCGATATCACTAGGTCTAAGCCTTGGAAGGTTGTGTGCTCCATGCCTGTCAAAATATTTCTTGCAGCCATTCTTTGCTCTGGCATTGTGCTGGTGAATTATATTCTTATCAATCGGCCTCAGGTCAAGGTTGAACTGCAGTGTAGATAAAGCCCCAAAACAGGTCCCTCTGCTGCAGGATGCACTTAAGTCTGTACCGCTCTTTTTGCCTTTCCATTTGCTTGAGAAAGTACGGAATGCTTGAGATGTGTATGAAATTCCAGGCATGGCTGAAATATTTGAAGTCAGTTGACAAAAACTGTTAGCCATTGTCAGTTAGGAAGACCATGTCAAGTGGATATATTTTTCAAACTCCCAATAACACTAGCTATGTTATTGTTTGTTAGTCGTGCTATTTCTAAATATCTAGAGAAATGATCCAACAGTATGAGATACGACCTACCTTTTACTTCACACAAGTCTGCACCAACTATTTGAAATGGGTGTTCAAGTAAAGGAGTTAGGCTAAGAGGTTCTTTCCTTTGTTTTGGCATGTTTTCTTCACACAGTGCATGTCTGAGCTCTCTTAATTATGTCTCTGTTGATTCCCAGCAACTATACTGAAGATCTTGCATGATCCCGACATTTCATTATGCCTTGATGTCTGTTGTGAATGGCTTTTAGCATTTTGTTCCATACAGAGGTCAGAATGACAATCCTATTACTCTTGATAAGCATTCCTTCATATAGACTCAATTCTCTTCTATTGTTGTAAAGCTCTTGCTAGTCAGAGCTCATCATTTTTTTATTGGTTGGCCAGCCCAATACTGGAATATTCAAAAACTTGTCTTAAGATTTTGTGCTTGTAGCAAAGGAGTCAAATTCAATATGGAGTGTAAGGGATGCAACTCTTTCCGTAGGAAAATGTCTGACACAACACAACGCAAAGCAATGTATACCGAACATGGGTGTAATGGCTTCTGCCAATTTCTCCAAGCGACCTGCTTTTGTGGAGCACAGACACACCTCATTAGCATGCGTGTAATGTGACCTTGCGAGACTGCACGAGACCGTGAATATTAAAAAGTCACGGACGCCATCTTGGACCCTTTCTTTCTTTTCCCAACCCACAAGCCAGACAGACTCGAGGGCGTTTGGGAAGTAAGCCATTTCTATTTTTCCCACACTCCCCACTGATCTCATGATCACAGAGTTGGCAGGGAGGCGGCGATCGCTTTCGCCGGGTGCTTCTTCGAAGATGGACGCTGCGAGCGTCATCGTCGCTTGTGCTCCCGTCCGCGGTCTGAGGGTCGAAAAAAACCGTGTCCCTTGGAAGACTATTGATGTCTGAGTCACTGCCTGATGAAGCTGGCGTGAACCAGAGCAATGGTCTCAGATTCCGATTCGCTCTGGTCGTTCAGCTGTGGTTGCAACTGTGTCGCCGGCCGCAGGCCCTTAATGTGACGGGGCACACTGTCGACCCGCACCGCCTGCGGGCTGATCACCTCAGTGACGCGTCAGGTTCCGTATTTCGTCGTACACTTGCTGTGTGGGTCCTTAATCCAGACGACATCTCCTTTCTTCAGCCTCTCTCCGGTTACTTTCAGTTCGGGCAGCAGGTTGGTCTCTATGCCCTTCACTCTGATGTGGTACCTATGCAATGTGACGGCTGG